AAAGATATAATGCATACTATAAATTGCATATTCCATCTCATATTTTCCATAAGAATATTTCAATAATATCAAGTCAAGATATTCCTTCAATAATCAAGATAGGATATGGTCAATATTTACGAATCAATATTTGACCACATGCTACAAGTTGTAGTTACCATATTTAACATACTTGAAGATAAAGCAACAAGATAAGGTATCCAAGGGTGGGGCGTGCCACCCATGTATGGCATGTGGGGCCCCACCTAATACCCACATGTTGGGCCCATGTGCACTATAGGCCCCTATGTATTTTTTTAATAAATATTTTTAAATTTAAATAAAATAAATTTTAAAATATTATAACTTTGTAAATTAATAACTTTATTTTTATAAGTCCAAAAATAAGAAATAAAATATCAAATGACTTACAAAAATTCAAATAATAAATAAAAAATAATTTAATAAATCAACACAATTAAATTAATATGATGGGAAGTGGATCCATATGGTTCAGGAATTCAATCAATGATCACCGGGTACTCCTTCTTCAACTGTGGACTACAGACCACACTTGCTTTATCGAACCGACCCAGTGTTTCTCATGACCCACAGTCCAAGCAGTGGCTCATTAGCAGGTCACCAAAGTCTAATCGATGAGCCAAAGGGTCGCAATCCTAGTCTGTGGATTACAGGTCCTCCCCTAGAGACAAGTCAAGGTCACCACGACCTGATGCGACCACAGCTCTATAGCGCATAGGGGTATCTCTGGCACATGCATATGCTTCACCCAAAGGTGGATATCTAGCTTTCCCGAACGATCTATCTATATGCATGTCGTGTGATGAAACAAGGATGAAGTTTTGGTCCCCGTCTCTGGAGGCTTACTATCACACACAAGGGTCACACAGTCCCTTGGCTCACTCATCTAGGCATAAGCTCCAACCTCATCAAAGGCTAACTCAAAAACGCTTATCGGTTTATTTTTTATACCCAGGTATCTCTGGTTTTCCAACCGACTGGCCTAGATCGTCAAGCACAGTCCGTTATCCGCAAATATCATTTGCTTAGTATGGTCTTCGATGGACCACACTCCCACTGAGTTTATGTTCCATTATAGTAAATGTTTTTCATTACACACTCATAAGGCCTTTAAAGGCCATATAAACCCAACATCTCCCACTTGGCCTTTGAAGGCCTTACATTCTCTCTTCCTTACTTTCTCTCATCCCCATCTCTCTCATATGTCTTACAAAAACATTATGGACAACTCCCTTAGTCAGAGGGTCTACAATCATCAAATCTGTAGATATGTAGCTGATCTCGATCTCTTTCAATCTCCCATCATTTCTCAAGTGATAGAAGTATGGCTTGATATGCTTTGAATTCTTGTGAAAACGAGATTCCTTAGAGACACAAATAGCCACCGTGTTGTCATAGAAAATTCGTACCGCCTCACAACGTACAGGATGGAAATTAAGTTGATTAAGAAACTTCTTAATGCACACAGCCTCCTTGGTTGCTAGACAACATGCCACATACTCGGATTCCATGGTGGATAAAGCCACAATATCTTGTTTCTTTGACTTCTAAGAAATCGCACCCCCTCCAAGCATAAACACATATCCAGATGTAGACTTCGCATCATCTGGATCCGCGAGATAACTTGCATCTGAATATCTCTCTATTGCTATTTCAGTTCCCCCTACTATGTGAGCGCATAGTTCATGGTCCCCTTTAAATATCTGAGAATTCTTTTTACTGCTTTCCAATGCTCTTCTCCTGAGTTGCTTTAGAAACGGCTCACCAGACTCATGACGAATGACAAGTTAGGTCTTGTTCCCGTCATAGCGTACATAAGGGACCCAACTGCGCTCCTGTATGACACTCTCTCCATGGCTCTTATATCCATGTCTTCGGTAGGACACTAAGCTTCGTCTTTTTGTTAATTGGGGTTGATATGGGCTTCCACATACTCATATCAAACTTTTTTAGTATCTTCTTACAATATGTTGCATGGGAAAGTTGGATAGTCTTATCTCTCCTGTTTCTTATTATTTTGATGCCCAACATATATGAAGCTTCTCCAAGATCCTTCATATCGAAGTGTTGTGCAAGAAAATTTTTCGTCTCTACTGCTAGGGCAATTGAGCTACTAACAATTAGCATATCATCCACATATAACGATATAAATACCACATCACTCCCACTGACCTTTTGATATATACAATAATCATCATTATTTGTAGAGAATCCTGCAATAGCAAGAGTCTCTTAGAATTTTATATACCATTGTCGCGATGCTTGTTTCAGGCCATAAAAGGATTTATTAAGTTTACATACAAGGTTTTCTTTCCCTTTCTCCTCAAATCCCTCAGGTTGGGTCATGTAAATTTCTTCTTCTAAATCCCCATTTAGAAAGGTTGTTTTGACATTCATCAAATTCAAAATGGGCTGCTATAGTTATAAGGATTCGGATGGATAGAAATTTGGCGACAGAAGAAAAAGTTTCCTCATAATTTATCTCTTCTTTCTGGGTGAAACCCTTTGCAACCAACCTAGCTTTGTATTTTTCTATTTTCCCTTCATAGTTCAACTTTTTCTTGAAAATTCCACTTACAACCAATGGCCTTACATTTTTTAGGTAAGGGTATTAATTCCCATACATGGTTTTGGTTAATGGAAGCATACTCATCTTTCATGGCTTCTACCCAGTATTGTCTTTCATGACAGGTCAAGGCTTCATGGTGAGTTCTAGGTTCTGAATCTAGATCTTCCCCAATTTTATCAAAATGTTCTTTAAGGTAGACAAAATGTTCTAGGTAAATAGGTGATCTACTGACTCGGTTACTTCGTCTTGGTTTAGGTAAGAGTTCTTTGTCTTTAGAGAGTTCAGAAATATGTTGGGTTGGTTTAGAAGTTTCAAGTTTAAGGTCTCGAGCTACATCCTTGTTTTTGGCCTCCTCATAAAAGTTGGCTTGTTTTCTACTCACCCTTGCTTCAAAGAACTCTTCCTTAAAGAAATGAGCATCGCGACTTTTATTAACCGTACCAGTTTCAAGATTGTAGAATCGATACCCCTTACCATGATCTTGGTAACCAATGAAAATGGATTTGACAGTTTTTTGTTGCAATTTGGTTCTAATTTGATGTGGGATAAGGACCTGGGCTGAGCAACCCCAAACTTTCAGATGTTCAAGGGAGGGAGTACGACCTGTGAAAATTCCGTGATGAGTAAGTGGGGCAGCTTTTGAAGAAGTCCGGTTAAGGATGTAACATGCTGTTAATATGGCTTCTCCTCAAAATTTCAATGAGAGATTTGCATGTCCC